CGATGCCATGCGCCCCACTAGTTTCTAATTAATAATATTTAAAAATACATTTTACTATAACTAAAAATTAATTGTATGATTAAATATTTTAACAAATCTTGTACGAACCTTAGCACCGATTTGGTTTCCGCACTGTCCGGCTTGTAAATGCGCTATTTCCCTCATGTTTCCACCGACTGATTTGCTCAAAATTAAAAAAAAATCTTTACGAGTTTTTCAACAGAATGCACGTCAATATATTATTAAGATAATATCGTTAAAATAAAAAAAAATACAAATGATTGATTTGAAAATAAAACGTAAAAATCAGCCGAACTCCGCGCTCTAGAGCCAACAGCTAGAGACTGAATGCAAAGAAGGAATACGATGCGCTTGGCTCGCGCAGTTAACTATCTTTAAACGCACTGGAAGTGAGGACCGTCTATCTCTGACAAACCTAGAGATACGCGTGTACCACTGTTTCTCAATATTTGTGATGTTTTGAATTTGATTTTTTTTTAACTTCCCGTAGGGTAAGTTATAGGAGATCGCTAAAAAAATCGAAAATGAAATTTTTTGCTTATCTTTACGTTTTAAAGATTTCTGAACATTTTGGCATACCTTAATTTTTCGCCCACTATTTCGGGTGCACGATTCACCCAATTGAATGATCCAACTAGTGGGGCGCATGGCATCGTGCTTTAAGGCAAATTGCTGGAACTTCCCGTACCAAAAATTATTTTTTTAAAGATTTACATTTTTGAAAAAAATTTACTCTGAAAAAATTTGATTTTTGAGAATCTATAAATTTTTGACAAAAACTTCATTTTTTTTTTGAAAAAAAATGACATTTTGAAGAAAATTTATTCTGAAATATTCTGGAAATTCTGAACTTTTTTCAAAGCAATCGTACAGCTTTAACTGCATAAACACGAAATATCGAAGCGCGTAAGCGCCGCGTCGCCGTCTAACGGATAAACACTGTTGCGGAACGCATGAGAATGTAAACAAAATTTATACTATTGTTAAAACCTCTATAAAGTAACTGATAATTTGATGTACATATGTCTAATGAACATTTTTACCGTCAAATGGCATTTTTTTTACTTTTTTTTACTAGATCTCCGAAACCGCTAGACTTACCTTCATGAAAATTTGATCAATTCTTCATATTGTTACAAGTAAAATGTTTTTTGAATTATTCAAATCGGACGCTCCATTCTCTTAAAAACTGAGTTACCTTTTTGGCACTTTTTACCCCATATCTTTGAAACGGTTAGACCCGCCTTTGCCAAAAACTAATCAGCACATCTCCTTATCAATACGAATCGAATGTTTTTTGTATTATTCAAATCGCATCATCCGTGTTTCCGAAATCACACACACACACATACATCCATTTTTTCTAAGGTATGCCAAAATGTTCAGAAGGTTTTGAAACGTAAAGATACATAAAAATTTTCATTTTCGATTTTTTTGCGATTACTATAACTTGCTCTACGGGAAGTTAAAAAACGCTCGATTCCTATTGATGGAAAGACATGCTAATTAGTTTTGGCGAAGACAGGTCCAGTCATTTCGAAGATACTGGGCAAAACGTGCCAAAAACGGTAATACAATTTTTGAGAGAACGGAGCGCCCGATTAGAATGATTAAAAAAACCATCATTTCGTAATGATGGGGAGAAGTGCTCATTAGTTAAAAACCTTCTAACGTGCCATAAATATTATATATATATATATTATATATATATATATAGTATTTCAGTCAAATTTTTTAATCATATTCTAGTGAATATTTTTATAAATAATTCATTATCTAATCTATCTAACATTTACTATTATCATAAACATAAAAATATCAATTGAAAGAAGAGAAGGACGAAAATCCACATGCATAAATAAAAGAATACCAATCTTTTCCTATAAACTAAGTGCAAGTGGGTTTGCCTTACGTGGGTAATCTGGTGTGGAATTTAAAAAAAATCAATCTTTATTCAACAATGAATATATGTACAAGATTTTTGCGAAATTTAATTATTTTTGCAGGTGTTTCACCACCACAATCCTCATTTGTTTGTTGTATCCTTGTATAAAACTGTCTTTTTTGATACGATACTTGCGATTTTTCAATTTTTAGTGTCTTTATAGACTTGTATTAAGTATGAAGTAAACTCATCCACAAATTCAAATTCTTTACCATTAAAAAAAACGAAAATATCAAAAATTTAAAAATCACTTTTCATAGTTTAGTAGTTTCGTTTTATAGTTTGTATACAGAAAAAGTGGCAATTATTAATGAATATTTTAATGAAACCTATAAATTTTACTTCAAAACCTTCACCATTTGTATTGCTGCATTACTAGTCGTGTTCAAAAAATACTTTAAAATATCATATTTTTATATTTTTAAACTAATTAAAATTCTTTGCAAGTAATTAATACAACTTTAAAACATTACAGTAGTAAATTTAATAAACCCATCATACACTATATTGCTTAACATATTATTCATGTATTGTGCATTATCGATATTTTGCTTCTCGACTTCAATGAAACATTGAAATTCACAATTTACCAATACTTTTAGACTCATTTAATTTAGGTAAAAAATGTAGTCGAAATAACAATCTAAAAACAGTTTTATTTAAGCATTCATATCCATATTGAATCATTCACAATAGTGCAAATTTGAATTTAAAATGTACTAATCCTTCCATTGTATTTTCACTCTAATTTTTGAGTCTATTAGTTTAAAAACTCTCTATTACAAAATATAATTCAAATTAAATTAAATTAGGCACTGTCTAATGTTCTATAAGTACTTCATAGCATTCACATGCATTAGATTAAACTAAAGCACTACATTTCAAAACTCTTTGTAATAAACTATATTATACATCAAATTCATATTTCATATTTGAAAAATACAAAATAATGAATATTATAATAGTCATACACGTTGACTGTTGAATTTAAAATATATTAGGATATATTAAATTCTCAAATTGGTTAATAAAATGAGCAAAACGAAAATATTTAATAATATTACATGAAATTTCCAAAGAAAATTTTTAATCAACTACGTAATATGTAATTAAACCAGATTTCAATTCAATCTCTTTATCATATAAGATTACCACAATAAACAATTGTCAGAAATGTAATACTTAACCGATTTAACCATAATTTAACCATAAATAAGTGCATGGATTTAGCAGGCATAAATCAAACAAAAACAACTCGTTAGTAACTATTCATACATGCATTTACATATTTATTATAATTTTTGAGAATCTATCTACATTCAACGTGTGCTAGTACTCGCGACTGAATTGGCTCGAACAGAATTATTTCTGTATGCAGTTCTCTATGCACGCGCTTTTATTTTAACAAAAAATAAACGAAATAAATAAGTCTATACATTTATAAATAAAGAAAGATAACGCAAAACCAAGTCAGTAACGAGAGCATTGCGTCTGCTGCTAAGTCATTATTGCTATTTTCGTGTAGAACTCAAGTGGCTACAAATTGCAGAACCATACACAACTTTACACTTTGTCTTAATACACTTGCTTAAAACCCAAACATTGCCTCATCTCCATCTGATGAATTTTATTACTACCCTTTCTATGATACTAATGTTTTTATTTATGCTGCAATAACGGGTAAAAGCTACATTCACTGACAAATATATTGTCACTTATATACTTCCAAGTGAAAACCTATACCACAGCCACAAAGTAAAAAGATCATTTTAGTTGTTTGTAAATTATCAATAAATGCATTTAAAATTCTTCCGCTTACTAATATCGTTGATCAAATGAGCTTTTCTATCTCATAGTTTATTTTCAAGTAATATTAATGGTATTCGTATTTTTTTAACTGCTTGCCCTAAGTTTTATTAATTGCTTCAATTAAATTTAAAATTAAAATAAAAAACATTTATTATATATATATCTATATATATATATATATATATATATATAGATATAGATATTCGATATAAATATATATGGTAAAAATTTGGATATGTGATGGATAAATTTTGATATAAAAAATTGTATATTTGAATATATACATTCAGCAATTAAACCAGGAAATTTTTCCAATTTTTTATAAACACAAATTGTGTAGAAAATCATAACTAATGAATAATTATTTAATAATTAATTAAATTAATAAAAATGACAGAATTAAAGAGGGCATATTGCCCAATTTGAAAACATGTATAAAAAAGACCATTGATATTGCTTGGATGCAGATCGTCTTTCAATTTCATTAGGGAGTGTTTTAATGGTGTATATTTTTTTCTATATTTGCCTATATCGCATCAATTGGAAATCTATCTGAATCGCTAGCGAATACAAAATTTATTTGCTTAACGATCCTGGCTCGTGATGAACAAAAATAATTGTCAAACCAGGTTCGAGCATAATAATGTGATTCTATTTTGAATTTTGAGGATTTCAATTATTCTCAAATTCTTTAGAAGTAATTCTTTAGAAAGATTCTATAATGCTAATACGATCAATGCTTCTTATATGCAATATTTGTAAGTAAATGAAGCTGATGCATTAATTTAATTTAATGATTTTGGAAACAAAGTACTTTTTACAATTGAATATTATGATCACAATGAAATGTATTCAACATATTAAAAAAAATTCGGTATTTATTAATTATCATTCATACATTTTACACAGTTTGCTCTTTCAATTATAAAAGCCTCTGTAGTTTTATACAATCCCCCTGATGACAAGAAAATTCTGTGCTGATTCTGATTTTTACTTGTTTAAGACATAATATTAAAATGTTACATATAATTGCTGACGGCTGCTACGATTTAAAGTTTCCTAGGCCAAATGCTTTGAGGCTAGGTCGTCATGTGAACACTGAAATAATTTTATTTCTCATAACAAGAATTACTGTAATAATTAGTCAAAGATACGTGCAATATTTAATTTCAGATAAAGACATACAAAGAGTAATACAAACTTAGTATTACATTTTATATTTCAGCTCTGCTATAAAATAGAAGCTTGACAATAATCAATTGAATTATAAAAAATAAGTCAACTCTGGAATGAGAATCCCGTATTATCCTACTAGCTTGCTTGCTGCAGTAGACTTCTTAGCTTTATTAACTATCGGTAAGATAACAAAACAAGCATTTCTTATTTCGTAAGATACAAGTCCAATTATTTTTGTTTTGGGAAACCTAGAATATAATTATGCTTTAATATACACTTATAAAATACTACAAGGACAAGATCAATACATAGTCTTTCTAGAAACATACTCTAAGCTTCCATCCCTAATTGTTAACTGATAATGCTTACAGTTCAAATAAAATATGTAAAACTAATCACATAATAATCATATCTCAAAATAATTAAATATTCAAAATATTTGTACAAGATTTATTATATAGGCTCTGTATTGATACTTTTTTCTTGATACAGGTCGCTGATGAACCACAATTAAGAATGGCAACCCATAAGAGACGATATCTGCTGAAGGATCAAAAAGACTTTTCTGGAAACGCCTATTTATTAAACGGAATATGCCTAGAAACTTCAAGGTATGCAATTTATTTAATCATTTGCTATTTATTCATCTTAATATTCTGATATCGTCATTAAGAATTTATTCATATTTTTTTCATTTTATTTAATTTTTTTTTAATATATTTCACTTTCCATTATATTACAATAATGTGTAATAAATCTAGTTGGAGTACTAATAAATCACTCATAAATTAATTTTAGTCAAATATTTACACTGCATCGCAAAGATCATGTAACGTGTCTTAAAATACCGCTTACAAATAGTTCAATTTTTTCATTATTGACTTACTCATTCACGAGGTTTAATTATTCATTTATTTATGCATACAATTGATATTTTTACTGTTGTTTATTTTTATTTTTTTTACTTACCCATTTAATAATTTAAGAACTTTCGGTAGTTCCTCTACGATTATTGTAATCGGCCAAAATCGAAAATGAAAATTTTTGCATATCATCACGTTTCAAAAGTTTCTGAAAGTTTTGGCAAACTTGGAAAAATTTGATGTGTATGTGTTTGTTTGTGGATACAATTTTTTTTCTTATATGAAAAAATTGTACTTTTTGAGATACCGAAGCTTTCGATTTTATTTTTGATTTCAAAATTTTGAGTCTTTTATAAAATACGAATAATGATAGTGACATTATTTAAAATAATCTATTTGAAAATGTTCAATATTACTTGGATATTTTATTACGTTATGGGAAGTTCTAGCAATTTGCCTTAAGGCACAACGTCATGAACCACTAGCTTGTTTCTAAACTTATGGATTTATACATTTATCTATTCTTCGTTTCAATTATTTTGTTTATTTATATACTTTTCATATCAATTATTCATTTATTTTATTACTTATTTCGTTTATTCTTTTCAATTTGCCATTTTTCTACGAATTATTTATTTTTGGCATTTATCTGTTGTTTATTTTTAGTTTTATATATTTTTAATATTAATAAAAAATTAAATAATAAATTTGAATTAATTTTAATTTTATTGATTATTGTCTAATCGGACCAATTCGAATTTTTTTGCGCACGATGTCATTTTTGAGCCGTGTCAAGTGGCTCCGCCGGCGACTTGATTGGTCCACGCGGTTGTCAACTCGTTCATTTGTGTGATGGGCAGCAACGCAGGAGGACCTGCAGGACCAAAGGAGAGGACCCAGGGAAGTACCCAATAGTAATAAGTGTGTTATGAAAACGAGCAAAATTAAACAAATCATTGTCGGGTTCTCATTCATTCATTCGCATTTGTATCTATTGTATTTTAATTTTGCGCAATTTCTTTTAACAATTGGTCACATTGACACTAGATTGTGAACGGCATACGTAGTTTGGCGCGATCGTATCTATTTGACAAATACAACTTGTTGCTATATAATCAATTTTCTAAGTACTGCTTTGTTAGCGTATTATGTAATGTCATGATTCAGATAATTATTTGCATGCTAATATAGTAGTTTGGGGTAGTAGAAAGTTTTGTAGGTAGCATTCGTAGTTCTAGTTTTGACTGACACACTAACACAATAATCCACTATTAACAAGAATGTAATAAACTGAATCATTCGACATTATGTATAAATCATATAATCATTAAACTATTGTCAATTATAAACAACTGCTGCCGTTTGCAATCCATATAGCATTGCGCCAATTTATTATTATTCTGATATGCATAAGTTCTTACATTGATGCATTAACTTATTTTCATCACTTTTAGGGCGTTACAAAAATTTGTCCGTGATACAAAAATCAAGGACAAAGTGTGAGCACTAAATGTAATCAATCCATGAAATAGTTTAAATCTGGGATTTATATATTTAATTTTAATCTGCAGATAACTTTACCTCCTTTAGTGTTATTTATCAAAATTTTGAAAGATGCATTCTAATCTCTGTTTTTTTTTTTTGTTCCAGAAAAAATTATCCGCTTCTGAATCAACAGCCTCATCGCTTATAATCCATCAAACAGTAAGAACTTATCAAGTATCTATCAGGCAGTCTGTATCCTTTATCAAACATTTTAAATGACGTGTTCTAATCTTTTGTTTTTTTTATCAGATTCAATTATCCACTTCTGAATCAACAGCCCTCATCGCCTTTAATTCATCAAACAGTAAGAACTTATCAAGTATCTATCAGGCAGTCTGTATCCTTTATCAAACATTTTAAAAGACGTGTTCTAATCTTTTGTTTTGTTATTTCAGATTCAATTCTCCTGCACCACTGAACCACCAGTCCTCATCGCCTTCAATCCATCAAACAGTAAGCACATCAAGTATCTATCAGAAGGCAGTATGTATCCTTTACCAAACATTTTCAAAGACGTGTTCTAATTTTTTTTTTTTGTTTATTTCAGATTCAATTCTCCTGCACCACTGAACCACCAGTCCTCATCGCCTTCAATCCATCAAACAGTAAGCACTATCAAGTATCTATCAGACAGGCAGTATGTATCTTTACCAAACATTTTCAAAGACGTGTTCTAATCTTTTTTTTTGTTTTATTTCAGATTCAATTCTCCTGCACCACTGAACCACCAGTCCTCATCGCCTTCAATCCATCAAACAGTAAGCACATATCAAGTATCTATCAGACAGGCAGTATGTATCCTTTACCAAACATTTTCAAAGACGTGTTCTAATCTTTTTTTTTTTTGTTTATTTCAGATTCAATTCTCCTGCACCACTGAACCACCAGTCCTCATCGCCTTCAATCCATCAAACAGTAAGCACATATCAAGTATCTATCAGACAGGCAGTATGTATCCTTTACCAAACATTTTCAAAGACGTGTTCTAATCTTTTTTTTTGTTTATTTCAGATTCAATTCTCCTGCACCACTGAACCACCAGTCCTCATCGCCTTCAATCCATCAAACAGTAAGCACATATCAAGTATCTATCAGACAGGCAGTATGTATCCTTTACCAAACATTTTCAAAGACGTGTTCTAATCTTTTTTTTTTTTGTTTATTTCAGATTCAATTCTCCTGCACCACTGAACCACCAGTCCTCATCGCCTTCAATCCATCTAACAGTAAGCACATATCAAGTATCTATCAGACAGGCAGTATGTATCCTTTACCAAACATTTTCAAAGACGTGTTCTAATCTTTTTTTTTTGTTTATTTCAGATTCAATTCTCCTGCACCACTGAACCACCAGTCCTCATCGCCTTCAATCCATCAAACAGTAAGCACATATCAAGTATCTATCAGACAGGCAGTATGTATCCTTTACCAAACATTTTTCGAAGACGTGTTCTAATCTTTTTTTTTTTTTTGTTTATTCAGATTCAATTCCCTGCACCACTGAACCACCAGTCCTCATCGCCTTCAATCCATCAAACAGTAAAGCACATATCAAGTATCTATCAGACAGGCAGTATGTATCCTTTACCAACATTTTTCAAAGACGTGTTCTAATCTTTTTTTTTTTTTTTTTTGTTTATTTCAGATTCAATTCTCCTGCACCACTGAACCACCAGTTCTCATCGCCTTCAATCCATCAAACAGTAAAGCACATATCAAGTATCTATCAGACAGGCAGTATGTATCCTTTATCAAACATTTTCAAAGACGTGTTCTAATCTTTTTTTTTTCAGATTAAGTATCCACTTCTGAATCAATAGCTCTAATCAGACTGTAAACGCTCATGAACGATCAGTCGACAATCAACTGCTTGGGTTTG